TGGACCGCTACACATGTCTATCCTATTGTTCGTACGCCTCCCCTTCTCCTTGTTGTGACTCCCGTGCTCACAACGGAAAGACAAGATACCACTGTCCATAGCCTCCGGACCTCTGACTTTCCGGTGTTTCCTACAGGCTTTCCGCTTCTCCGGCGGATCAATCAATCCAAAACCTCCGTGCGTTCCTGCCGCCAACATGCTCTCCTGAAAGGGCAAAGTGTATTCCCAAAAATATCCGAACAAAGGAAGGAAACTATCGCGAGAGCATCCCGAGCACCACCTCACGATTTCCAACATGTGTAGAGCTGTGCCCCCCGCAACGTTTGCTATAAATTGGGGTTCCCGAGCCTTGAGTAGTGTCATGGGATCGGGATAGAAAATTTAAATAGACGTGTATGGAATTCCCTCCAGCAACAGCGCTTACCGGTCGAACCCGCCAACTCCATCCTAGGATGTATCGGCGCCAGTCCAACGGGAACGAGACTTGGAGATTCACTGTGATGGTCAACCCGAGTGATAATTTATGAACACGCTTTATCACCGAGGTTCTCCAATAAAGTCATTCTTTTGTATCACAAATAGTGTATTGAATCAAGCTGAGTGGGATTTTTACTTTTTCTACCTCCCCTCGGTTTTGTGTGCCTTGGGATATCAACCGAAATCGTCTAGCCTGATTTATCTCTCTAGGTAGAGAGATAGCCTCGTCGTGCACGATCACGGCAAAATATATTCATCTAATTTCCCTTGGGGCCAGAAACCTCGGGGGACGACGTGTCCCTAAGGCTCGTACTCTTTATTGTGTACTGGTATTATCCCCCCCCAGGTTCGTCGCCTCATGGGTTTTAACATCATGGGGACTAACCCATTCCTAGGTAGAGTTAATAGATTTGATCGGTTGATACCAGAGTCTCTGAGAGTTGCGCGGCTGGTATAACCTCATCCGGTGGCCTGCCCCGCGGTGGGTAAAGCTGCGGCGGTTGGCATAGGATACCAGTGACGCCAGAAGGTGGTCGTGTAATCGCTATACACGGGTGTGTCATAGCAATATTAAAAGAGACGAAACCATTAAACCAATGGAAATTTGTATACGTTGGGCAGAAACGACACGACGGTATTTACTAAGGCGTCCAAGTACGAGGAGATTGAGTAAGGGCATTGTGGTAGGCTCCTATCATTCCCCAAGATCTCCCGGTGCAATACAAGAGACTCAGCTACCATATTGAAGCTAACATCGCATATCTCCCCTACTATTATTACATAGGCTCAGTCGCATCTTGATTCATTTACCGCCGAGCGTGCACTCTCTTACTTCTGTATTCACCTAGGTTTCAAATTCTATGCTAATTTTATTCAACGAGGGCACCTAGAATGTGTGGGACACTAGTAACAAGATGCTGGTTTTGCACCGGTGCGACGAACTATGTAGGCGTCAATGGGATCCAGCCTGAAGTGTGGCAGGCAAACAGTTATTTCAATTTTATAGATACTTCAATCTTTAACGATCAAAGGCATCAATACGCAAGCTCAATTTGTGAAAGGAGAAACTTGATTGTATGCTGTGCGACTACAGCTAGGTACATAGAGGAAACCAAGGGAGGAGCAAAGGAAAGGGGGAGCTAGGTGAGGTGATGTTTGGGAAGATAAAGAAAAGGGGAGCGAGTAACGAAGAGAGGGAAACAGGGAATGGGGGTATGATCTGCCGCAAACTGACAGATGTTGGAAGTAACAAGATATCGGGTAACAGAGATACGAACGAATACCGTTATTGAGAGGGGCACACGAACGCGGAATCAAGTGTAGAATAAATAGGAAACAGGAAATGACTGGCGAAGACAACGGAGATTATGAGCGAAAGACAATTCCATTCTCAGGCGAACACTAGGCAATGACAGCCCTGAGCGATCCCAATGATCCCGCTACCGGCAAACCTAATTCCCATACGCTGCCCTAGCATCAGAAATACCATGCTTTTTCAACAAGTGAGCCGGGAGATTATCCGCACGCTTAATCCCGCGATCGCCTACGTGCACGCATCCTTCAACCGGGCAATCCACACGGTCATTGGCATGCTTTGCGAGGTAATGTCTGTTGAGGGCTTGCTTTGTCGTGAAACTTCCGGGGAAGGTGCAACCTGGGGCTCCGCAAGTAAATCTTCCCGGGGAGCAGGTGTGCGGGCCTCTGCCGAAGTGGTACAGTAGATGTTAGTGTCATGAAACAGGTACAAGTACTCGAGTAGAGTGTAATGTAGAGGGGAATTTGTAACCTGTTGCCGGAGCACTTGTGGTATTGACAGAAGTTGCTCGGGAGCGAGGGATAAGAGTTCCTCTTAGTGCCCAACGGAGCGATGGGGATATCAATGTTGTTTTCCGTGCTCACCTCGCTCACGTCATTGGCGGTCTCTGGATTGGCGTGCGTACCATCCCACGAGCCAAGGACGGAATACCAGCCATCCCCGACCGGATAAAGTGGGAGGCAGCCGAGTCCTGGGTGTAAGCTGAGTGGGTTGCCGCATTCATCGTAATCAACCAGTGGAAGGGTGCATCGGTGGGTGGGGGGTATTTTGATGGAATTGGTCCTAGTCGTAGAGTGTCAAAAAAAAAAGCAAATCGAGACTTACATTGCTTCCGTGTAAAAGTAAGTTATTGTGATGTGTTAAAAGTGCAAAAGCTGGATAGAGACACGCAAAATTGGGTAGAAGAAAGGAGGGGGGAAACGGTAGTATTTAACTTCGCCCTTCGAAATTGAATTGCACTTTTGCTCGTGTATAGGTTATTCGAACAGATGCATGAGCCTGAGATATAAGCGCCCCACAACCAAGCTGACCAATTGCGGGTTGTAAAAACGATCCTGAGACATGGCCCTTGGGTTGGCATTTGCGCTCTCAGCTAATCTTCTGATACTCAGCCTCATGGCCGCCAGCTCAAGGGAGTTTGCTATTGCTGTTGGTGCTTGTATCATGCTTCTTAATGGCCTAGCGGACCATCCTTTTTCTCCCTCCGCGCAGCGTTGCCGGGTAAGTGTTCTGGGTTCTTCCCACAGTGATTTGTTCGGTTTTGCTTGTCCTTGAAAATTAATTTTTGGTGCCAACGGAGCCAAAGCGGTAAACGGCACATTGTTTGTTGGATGTCGGTACGGCACTCTATAATGCCCTGTCTGTGGTAAAGAGAATTGTCTATCCCACATTGATCCATCTATCGTATCCCCCTCTCACAGAAGGGCCGCATCCTGGGTTTTGCCCTATCACTGACTACACAACCCCCACCTGAGACTTTTCAGGATAGCCCTAGTACTCGAGGGAGTATGATGCAAATCGTCTATAACGTGCACCAGCGGCGTTTCAAAATGAAATGCTTTACATAATCAGGGTAAGGTCAATCAACAACAAGATTCTAATTTCAGAAGGTCATGAGTTCAAGTCTCATCAGATTCATAGTTCCATAGTCCTTATTTTAATATCTTATACTTTGTAAAATTCCATGGTAGTAATTGTAGTAGCTATATTAGAATAGAAGTCACAAAAATAAATATTGGAAAACCTCAATCTGAGCAAGATTTGAACTCAGAACCTTCTGAACTCAGAATCTTGTTGTTGATTACCCTTGCCCTGATTATGTAAAGCATTTCATTTTGAAACGCCACTGGTGCACGTTATAGATGATTTGCACCATATGATATATGATACTTCTGCCGCTTTCAACTCGCATCATACCTCCGTCTGAATGCATGCACGACGAGGGCTAGCACAGGTCGCCAAGTCCCGGGTATCCCCAGTGAACAAAAAGCCCCTTCCCCACTTGCAAGGAAGGTTAAGCCACGCCATGGACCAGACGTATAATTGCCCTAGCAGACATTTTCCCCGCCAGATTCCCGATTTCGATAACCGGTACTCCAACAAGTGGGCACTCAAATTATCTCTCGGCTTGCTTTCCCGGTCACAAAAACATACGCACACCTAGACTAAATAGGTAGTTACATGCAGTTGTCATGATACCTCGCGCGGACGTATCGGCTCAAGACCTGCTTTGTCCCGAAGGCCATTCTCCAGGGAAGCCTGACCGGCCCGCAAACGAATTCCCTAGGAGTTGAGGTTGGTGGTCTACAATTGGGTGTGCGCATCAGGTGGCGTAATAGTGTACCATGGATTAATGTACAGATATTCTGGAGAATTTGCACCACCCGCCATCGTGTACAAGGAGACCAGTGGTGGCATTTTGCGATTGTGCACCGGACAGTGAATTTTAGAAAGTGTTCGTGTTCCCATGGTGTTCTTGTTTGGTCGGGGTTGGGGGGCTGGTGCTGGTATTCCGTAGCCGAGCGCTAAGTAAAAGTTGCCAAATCGCAGACTACAGCGTAGGCTAAATACCGCAGTCCTCTCAGCCACTGCAATAGCGTTTAGCCACCCCAAGCTCTAAATTTACTATTTCAAGAGCCTTACATCTTGTTTGAGAAGATATGAAATGCTCTTCCTCCCTGTCGATTCTAGCACCGCAGCTTGGGGAATAAACCCCTCAAGAGGTTTCTTCTGATCGTGAACTATGGAGCCAAATCGAATGGAGATTACTATATATTTCACTTGGAGAGAAAGGAAAAATTATGGGATCACCTTGTATTTAAATATATTTTACGAGGAAGTCAAAGGAATTGTACTAGTTTTAAAAGCGTTGGATTCCGAGACTTCTCGTGCGGTGCTGCTAAAAGATTTATACCGGCGGATTGTATGTGTAAGTTGGGGCTGGACGGGACTACCTTTGCCAATGTGGGGCCAGGCCCTCAGGCTAGCAACAGGTCTACGGTGATCGGAGACTAAGAGATGGCTGCCTGGGCACGGTAGTCTGCTTCTTGTTGGAATAGCGCCCCGGGGGGGGGGGCCTCTTGGAGTGAAGGTTCTCTTTGGGCGAAAAGAGCAAGTGACGGGTTCGAGAGAGTCATATTGTGTGCCTAGATAACCATCCATTCAGATCAATAAAAAAAAAACCCCCCCGGCTTGCCCCTCGCCACTAATCGGACATTTGCCTCACAACAAAATTAACCCTTTTACCCATATCCAGCCCCTCCTCTCCTTCAGCCACTCCTGCAACCGTTCAGGGCACGTCCCAAAAGCAAACGCAGGCGAAGAACGCCACTCCCACCTGGCCTGGCCCCTCATAACGACCACGTCCCCACACCTCACCCTAACCCCCTCCTCCTCCCCAACCCCTGCGATGAAGGGCGCCTCGCAGCCCAACGAAATAGCGACCAGTGGCGCAGAACCCACCTTGGAAACATGACGATGAGGGTATCCGCCCACGCCGAGGTCCCACATGGCGAACTCACGTGTTGGCGAACATCCCGGTGGATTCGCGCAGCGGGGAGGAATCCACAGGGCACTTCTCCAGTGACCAACTGTGTTTCCCGCGCGTTGCTCAAGGCTTTTTATACTTAGTGCATGCTGGAGGTGGGCAAATCTAGTTAGTCGGCATTGAGAGACCGGAACAGTCCTCGGAGCCGAATTTAAATAGGAACCTATGTCTGATGGTGGGGGAGGAAGTGGTAATGGGTGTGCAAGCTTGTTTCATGCCATGGATCGGAGATCGTGGTATAGTAGTTTGCACAGCAGGGCCATTTTTACCGATGAAGGGAGCAAGCTAGGTCTTACTCGCAGTCGTGGGATTGAGGCGACTTTGTAGCCGGGTATTCCGGATTCGGCGTCCGTCATGCCTTTACCAGCACTGAATGCGGAGAGCGCCGCTGGCGTGACGGGGGACGGAAGTGCTACTATATCTGTGAAAGTTGTGGTGGTGGGAGGGGAGAGCTGGGGACTTGGAGTCAGGCTTTCAAGCCCGGGTGGGCTAGGGTTTATTCTGGAATGTATTGGCTGCGTGTGACCTCCGGTTAGGATGAACCACGCACATGGGCTGGGGTGCACGGGTAGACTAAGCCCCCTGAGTATTACTCGTACCAGGTATGATAGTTGGCAATGACACCACATTGTACTGGTATCGCTGCTAACGCCCGTACCCGTGGCGCTAGCTGTCCCACCTCACCGGTGTTAGCTATTCAGATCTGCCCGTAACTCTAACAAGAGTGGGTGTGTCACCAACCCTAACCCTGTTCGACGAGTATCCTAAAAGAGGGGGAGAAAAAAAAGAATGACGAAAATGCTCGCTAACTTATGGATATGATACTTGATTGGTTAGTAAAAAGCAGCACTACCGGTACTCGCAGGTGACAACAACGGCAATTGGCGAATATTTTTCTCCGCCATTGGCCTAATAGTTGCTATGCCGCTCTCGGATATAATAGGTGACCATGCCCTGCACAGCCACCGCAGTCCTGAGGCCTGGGGACCCGTCTGGGTATGTTATTATATGCAGAAGGGACGGTAACTCGCCGGCCCTTCCCAGCGGACCCCCGATTCTGCTCTATGGGAAACTTATCAAACCCACACGCCCGTGGATCCCACTATCATACAATACATTGCCGGGCCTAGATTTTCCTGGGTGAAATCAATTAGTAAAGTAAGCTACCATACTGCAATAGAATCGCTCTTCTGTGTCGTGGGTATCATGGGGCTTGGGATCAGATTGAGCGAGCTTTTTTCACCCCCTTATCTCTATTTGGTTGTGTGACACTAGATATTAAGTGAAGGTCCGAATCGAATTTATCTATCTGGGTAGGAAGACAAAAGCGGTAGCGGGCGATCTCGGTAAAGGTTATCTTGTCTAACTTCTAGTGCGGCTATCGACCTTGCCAGATAACGTTCCCCAATGATACCCACAGCCACGGATTCCTCCCGCAGATCTCAACATCGCCAGAGCTAACACATCTCGGGGTAGAGTTAGCGGATCTGATTAGTCGATGCCAGAGCCTTTGAGAGTTGCACGGTTGGCCGAGCCTGGGATTATCTGTCCGGTCTGTCCGGGATTTGGTAAGCCTACTCAAGTAAGGGGGTTGGCGCAGAATCATCAGGGAGAACACCGAGGAGCAGTTAGGTTATGACTATAGTGTACCTGGGTGTGTCCTAACTACAGAAAAGCAAAAACCCTTGTCACCGTGGACACTTGTATGGGATGAGTGTGGAAATAATCTACCGGCTTTTACTAATGCGTCCGAGCACTAGCAGATTGAGCAAGCCTTTGCCGTGGGAACCTATGGTTCTATGGGATCTGCACACCGGGGCACTCAGTTACCCTAGTATGAATTGTGGTCAGCGGAATCCTGATTGGGTTATGGCTGGGCGGACATTCTCTTAAGTTAGGTCTCCGTCGACCCATCTCTCGTGTTCTGTCCTAATTTCATTAAACAAGAAGACTTGAAATAAGTAGGGTGCTAGCAACAAGATGGTGATATTGCACCGGCGGGGCGTCAATGGAATCTAACTTGAAGTGTGCTAGACAAATGGCTACTTCAATCTTTCACAATCAAGAGAATCAATACCCGGGCCCAATTTATGAAAGGAGAAACTTGATTGTATAGCATACGACTACAGTTAGGCGCATAGGGGAAATAAAGGGAAGAGCAAACGAAACGGAGAGCTGGGCGCGGTGGCTTAGGGGAAGATAAAGAAAAAGAGAAGCCAGTAACGAAGAGGGGAAAACAGGAAATGGGCGTATGATCTGCCAAAGGCTGACAGATGTTGGAAGCTACAAGATATTAGGTAACAAAAAGACGAACGATTGCCGTGATTGAGCGGGGTATGAACTCGGAATCAAAGGTGGAACACGTAGAAATAGAAAATGACTGGCAAAGACAAAGGAGATTATGAGCGAAAGACAATTCCATTCTCGGGCAAACGCTAGGCAACGATACCCCTGGATGATACCAATGCTCCTGCTACCGGGAAATCTAGGTCCCGTACGCTGCCCTAGCATCAGAAATACCATGCTTATTCAACAAATGAGCAGCGAGATTATCGGCACGCTTGATCCCACGAGCTCCAACCTTCAGGCATCCTTCAACCGGGCAATCCACACGATCGTTTCCATGCGTTGCACGGTAGTGTCGGTTCAAAGCTTGTCTTGTCTTGAAGGTGCCATCCCAGGAGCAATTGGGGGCTTCGCAGGTAACTCTGCCCGGGGCGCAAGTGTGAGGGCCACTGCGAGAGTTGAACAGTAAAAGGTTAGTGTACACGGCGGGTAAGAGTTTAGTATGGAGTAGGTTTGGATTGCTAACCTGTTGCCGGAGCACTTGTGGTATTGACAGAAGATTCTCGGGGGACCGAGACTGGCATTTCTCGGAGGGTGCACCGGAGCGCTCGGGATATCCGTGTTGTTTTCGGGGTTCACCTCGCTTACGTCATGGGCGGTCTCGGGATCGTCGTGGGTACCATTCCATGGGCCGAGGACTGAATACCAGCCATCCCCGACTGGATAGAGTGGGAGACCACCGAGTCCCGGATGCACGCAGCGTGGGTTTCCAAGTTCATCGGAATCGATAGGTGATGGCGTGCGGGATGGGCGGGGCGGGTGCGGCCTAAAGGGTTAAAAAAAAAAAAGACAAACGAGACTTACATCTTTTCAGTGTAACAGTAAGTTATTGCGACGTCCTGGAAGTGCAAAAGCTGGATAGCATACTCGCAAAATTTGGTGGAAGAAAGGAGGGGGGGAAACGGTAGTATTTGACTTCACCCTCAGAAATTGAATTGCACTATTGCTCGTGCGTAGGTTATTCGAAAGGATGCATGAGCATAAGAGATAAGCGCCACTCAATCGAGCCGACCAATTGTGGGTTGTAAAAATGATCCTGAGACAGATCTTTGTGCTTGCATTTGCGCTCTCAAACCATCATCTAAGTTAGTCTAATACTCAGCCTCATGTCAGCTCAACCTAGTTTGCTACTGCTGTCGGTGTCGTGCCTCCCAATGGTCCACTGGACTTGTGACCCTCAGTTTTTCTCCCTCCGCATAGCGTTTCAGGCCAAGTATTCTGGGTTCACTATCTAGAGGCCTACTCAGTATTTCCCGTCGCCTTGAAATTTAATTCTTGATGTTAGCCAAGTTGAAGTTGTGAATGGCGATCTCAAGTTTGATGCGAGTATGATAAGTTCAATCTATCACGTGGAGTCAGTGCTAAAGAGAATTGTCTATTCTATATTCATCCACCTCTACACCTCAGGCTCTCAGCGAGGGGCACCCCATCCCCCCAGGTTCACTTGGTTTTCCCCACATAACTTCCTATACTAGTCCCATTTCTGGACTTTCCATAATCGCCCTGGTACTTGAGTAATTGCTCTCAATTATTCCTTGAGGCGCTGCTTACGCGACTATTGCTATGGTAGTAGGGGTTGCCAAAACCAGGATTTCCCCGGATAACAAAAGTATCACTTTACCACTAGTACGTTCGTGAGAAAACTCGAGCCGCCCCCACGGGCCAGGTACGTAATGCTGCGCCGGTACGATAGAGTGGCGATGCGCCTTCTTCTACAGATGATGCTTCCGTCAGGTCTCCAATTTGGCTGTCCATACTGCAACAATCGGGTAGCCAAATCATCCCTCCGCTTGACCATCAAGGGATATTCTCTACTAGACGAGACGGTTATACACGGTGATCGAGGTGCTTCGCTCCACGGTTTCCTACCGTATAGGACATCGTATTGGATGGTGCAGTATGATGCACCAATAAACTCACAACTTGAGGCCCATGTCCCCCGATTTCGATCTCTGAATTGGCCATAAAGAACCAAACTAAATTACCAGGTGCAAGCCCTGTCGATGCAAAGCTTTCACTTTCTTATCGGATCCTGTCACTGTATCCTTCAGTTCTAGTAGCACAAATAATCGTGGATTCTCCTGGTTGCAAAATTATCAGTAGGTATGGTAACAAAACCCTGGCAAGCGCCAGAGTGCTCAAGACGTTACCACCACATAGGTCTGCCAGCACTGCGGTCTACTGTAAGGCGGCTAGAGGGGGGCGATGTAGTTCATATATCATGGCAGACAGAGCTGCTTGCCAGGTTTTATTGGCTTTAAATCCAACTAGCTTCGGAGCACGGCCCCTTACAATATATCGGCGAAGGCTTGGACCATGAGATGCAGGCAGT